TGTTCAGAGGAAGGAAAAGAGAACAGTTAAATACTAAATACTAACAGAAAGAACATATCAAATTTCTAATGATTAGGTGCCAGAAATTATCTACTGTTTGAAATGTATGTATAGTTACTAGAATTACTATTAAGAGAAAGTCACAACATGTCTCAAATATTTTTTAAAATGACAGAAAATTAAAACACTATAGTAGAATGTTGAAACTTAAAGTGGAATTTTCTCAAATTGTAAGAAAAGACAGAGACTTCTTTCACTCCACACACACCACACACACACACACACACACACACACACACACACACAACTTTATTCTTAAGAATCCAGAATGGATTGAAGGGATGACACAATGGTTCTCAACTATGGCTACACATAAAAATCACCTGATGAGATTTTAAAATTCAGACACACGGGGCCCCATCTCAGAATCAATTTAAGCAGCATCTTTGCTGCTAGATGTGGGAACTCCAGTGTAAAATGGATAAACTTTCTATTTGTCTTCTTTCAATACACACACACACACACACACACACACACACACACACACTTTATAAGCAATACTCATTTCTAAGGAATTCATCATTACTAAGTTCAATTGCCATGCACTGCATGACTAAATACGCTAGAGTTCAAAATCATCCACTGTTGTAATTAGGGAATTTGTATCATGCATGCCCTGTTCAGTTATAAACACTAATATTATTTATTGACTTGCACTCACAGCAAAGATAATATGCATTTTACATAGAAAGTGACAAATATATCTATTGTCTAACACAAATGCTGTATTGGAGAACAATTCCTACTTCTTGCTGAAGCTCGATGATATAATCAAAGTAGACAGCCTAAAATTAAGAAACAAAGATCTTCATCTTTTGTGTCAATTTCAGGAATGAATACCTCCCAAATAACCTTAAACAGACTTACATTTTGATTTTTTAGGCATTGCTGAATTTGAAAAATATCAGAAAACATTGGATTTTTTAAAAAGAAGGATTAAGTAGGCTTCTTAAAAAGTTAATCATTTTTCTTAAGAAAAAAAAGACAATGTTACAAAATACTTCTTAGGAAAATCATTAATGTCCCATTATTTTTTCCACAGTTCTTCAACAGTTCTTTTGTCTTCCTGTGTATGTATTTTTAAAATACTCTGCTAAAGTTTTTTTTTAAAAAACCTGATGAGCTTTAGAACTTTTATACCAATAAAATAATAATTCAAAATTGGTCACATTTTGTAACAAGTCATACTTTCCAAAATTATTTTCAGTTATGTCCTTTGACAAAAGTCCTTTCCTGGGTACCTTCTGACAACCCTGTTTCCCAGCTCTTGGGCTATTCTACTTTGAAATGAACTCACCTCCAAAGAAGATGTACAATGGAAATATCATGGCTAATGTATAAGCTGAGTTGAAAGTAACAAGTAAATGTTGTAGGTCTAAAATAGAACCTTTAGGTATATTACCCGCAGTATTAAAAACAGAAACTTGATATCAATGGGGAGAGTTCACATGCTTCCACCAGGGAGACAAGTCTCATGCCCAGGACTCACCTATCTGGCTTCTCTGGACAATCGTTAACATCTCTGGACTACACAGTTAAGGAAATAGAAAAGTCATGCAAAGAGCTTCATGGATCCTGCTGAGTTCAGAATCTGGAACTCACCATCATTGTGACCTCAGGTACCTACACTCCTCTGATAGCTGTTCAAATCTACCCTGCCACAGTTTGCTAGTCTATTAACATACTTTAGTGAATTAACAGACAGAGCAAGATTCGATGAACCCCTTCACCCATCTACTAGTTTCATCTTTTGATAGGTAGATGTTGGGAAAATAATAAAATCACTTTTTCAAGAATACACTGGCCTCTGTGGTCTTTATTCTTGATCCAGTGCTTAAATTGTTTCAAACAAGACTTTTTACGAGAAAAAAATGCTGATGTATTCTATTTGAATTTCAAATCAAATCAAATGAACTTTTCAAAAACAGTAAGGAGAGTGTAACCTAAGTTCCTACTGGGCTGAGAGTTCTTCTTAGTTTTCATTGTTTGATACAGTTCAGTCTCAATTCTGTCAGTTCAAACTTTAGGGTTACTAAAGACCCATACTCATCTAAACCATGTTTTTAAAAAAGTGTCTTTCCATGTAAAAAAAAAAGCATTTGTTGAAAGTGACACTTATGCAAATACATATTAAAATAATAATTCAAACAAATATTATTTAGAAGATTGGTTTTATTGATAACATAAAAAAGATTATATGACTTATAAGTCAAGGCTTTACAGTTTACCCAGTACACAAGAAGAATGAGAAAATCTCATGAATTTGGAAATATACATGAATTAATTTACTTATGACAGGTGTGTTTGGTCTTGAATGAGAACAGGGCAACTCTGTTTCTTAAATGTTAAATAGCTCTAAGATCATTAAACAAGACCATATATAGTCTCAGCAGGTAGAAATCACTTATGACTGTAATTTGGTGTCCTGTGAAAGTAAATTGGAAAAGGAAGGAGTACCTGCTTGGAGCATCCTAAAAAGATTCCCTAGCAACTCAGTGGTAGGATACTGTTAGCACTCTCTGGAGATCATGAAACCCTGGGCACAAATATATCAGTATTTTTACCACACATATTTCTAATGTTGAGAAAGACATAGGTCTGTCTTAGCTGGATGCCAGTAAAAATTCCAATCTCTCCACCACTGAGTCAATTTGTTAAACTATCAATGTTCATTATTTAAAATTAGGATTACAATTTGCTTCCCAGCCAGGTGCAGTGGCTCATGCCTATAATCCAAGCACTTTAGGAGGCTGAGGCAGGAAAACTGCTTGAGCCCAGGAGTTTGACAACAGCCTGGGCAAAACAGTGAGGCATCATCTCTACAAAAAGTCAAAAACTTAGGCAGGCACCATGGCACACATTTGTATTCCCAGCTACTCAGGAGGCTGAAGAGGGAGGATAGTTTAAGCCCAGAAGTTGGAGGTTGCAGTGAGCCATGATCATGCCAACTCCAGCCTGGGCAACAGAGTAGGACCCCAAATAAAAGAAAAAAATTGCTTTCCATGGTGCTTTATCGACTAGTATGAATACTGCAATCTATATCCTCCATTGTAGCTTAAGAAATCATTATAATGATTAACACAACATTGTCATGTGGGATTTGATAGAATGTGGTGGATTCACTCTCTCTTGTACTGACAAAGTGAATTTTCTAAACTTGCAAAGCAGAAGTGCTAGACCATGGTCAAGCCACCGAGATCCAGGCCATGTTGAGAGAACTTGGCCACACTCCCTCATCTTCCGGCTCCACTTCTTCATACCATAAGCACTTGTGCAGACTGACACAGAGCAGTGTCACCAGGGATACACAGTGCTTGAAACCCAGTAAGTACTTTGTACTGGGGGGTGAGGGGCAAAAAATGGAATTATCTTTGGGAGGGCCCCTTGCGCACAGGCTTCCCCCACTAGGTAAGTGCTCTAACAACCCATCGGCATCGGTGTACCAGCTAGTGTTGTCAGAGACAATTTGTGGAAGAAAATTCCCAAGTTGTGGCAAGCAGTTGACTGGTTTTTCACCATGACAACACACCTGCCCATACCACGCTGAGTACTCAGCAGTTGTTGAGCCAAAAATGGCATGACTCCCCCCTGCCCCACCCTCCCTAGTCACCTGATCTCACCCCAAGTGACGTTTTTTTGTTTCCCTGGATTAAAAAAGGTCCTCAAAGGTCCTTGCAAATGTGCAAGGGGTGAAATAAAAAATGGTAGAAGCACTAGAAGGCATTAAAATTGACAAATTTAAAAACTGTTTTGAGCAGTGGAAAAAGTATCTTGATAGGTGTATTGCAACAAATGGAGAGTACTTTGAAGGTGATTGAAATTTAAACATGAGAGAATAAGTACACATTTTTAATAAACAAATTCCGAATTTTTGGGGGGTCCTCTTTTGTATATATTTGGTGACTGAATTTATCTACCTTGTCATCCTAGTGCTCTTATCAAAATGTGTAATTGTAAAAGAAAAGTGGAAGTTGTAGGAAAATATTTACTTGAACAAAGTATGAGTTACAGGCAGGTATCCACAAATCCAAACACTCAGGGTTGTAGAATTCGCTTTGCAGTAAGCAAGATCCGGTGTGAACCGAGGTAGGTTATTTTGTAGACTTCATGTGCACTATTTGATGAATATCTAAATCATTCTTTAAAGAGATGTTAACATGTTTAATTATAAGGAAAACTTCCACAGGAGACACTGCATAATGTGCTCCATTACCTTTCTAAAATACGTTTAAAAAAATCGAAATCTGTAAATGTATTAACCCCTGGGGTTTCAGGTGAAAGACTGTGAGCCTGGACGCCTTTGTTACATAATCTGAGAAAACCTATTAATGTCATATTTAGGCAGAGTTCCTCAAAATCCCTAAATATTGTAACAATATAGGACAACAAATTGGTAGGTAGAACAATGTAGAAGAGAGAGCAAAGGCACTGAATCAACGACATTGAATCTTGGCTTCAACGCTGACGAAGCTGTGCAAATTACCAAATTGCTATACTTTTTTAATCCTCAGCTTTCTCATCTGGTAAAAGGGTTTCTTAGAGGATTAAATGGGGTAATACAGGGCTAAAATATGAGAATAAAAAACAATAATTGTAGTGACAGGTTGTAGTAGCTGTTGTTACAGAAATAAAATATATAGTGATACATAACAATAGTGATTACTGATGCTATTGTATAGAATGCAAGCATTTCTGATGTCTCTCATAGTAGGAAGGAAATGCTGGCTTTAACATTTGAGGTTCACAGCTTTAATACTTCAAGCTGCAAAAATTTTGATGCAGAAAAAATTGAATTACATTCCAAACCACTAACATTATTTGTATTATTTTAAAAGTTGAATAAATGACTTGGATGACCACATTGGGTAATTAATGGCTTGAATCACTTCCTAACAAGCATGCATTTCTTATTTCACACCAATGCCTGCAGTTGCTCTTACCTGAGAGGAGTAGGTGTGACCATCTGAACCACAGACGGGGCTGGGGGCGACCACCGGGCACTGCTTGCAGATGGATGAGACGAGACCCCTCCATTGCTTATGGCCAATTCCTGTTTCTTTCATACTGTTAAAAAAAAAATCAAACAAGCATACTTAAAAATGTATCTAAAAATGTACATTTTTATTAGCATCAGTCCTTTTCCCCACTCCCATTCCAACTCCTGAAGATAAATTAAATCAGTAAACTGCATTCTTTTTTTCAATTATTAAAATATACAATATATTCATTACATTTTTTTATTCTTATCTCATGGTTTGCTTCTAATAAAATAAGAATATATTCCTTAAATATATTCTGTTAGTCACATATAGATTATGGCTATAGTTCATCATCTTTTGTTTTATGGTTGTGAAAAGTGCTTTTGATAGCTCCAGACACAGAAACATTCCTGGCTCAGAAGTAAAGGGCTCATACATATGGCACCTTCATGAGACCTGTTCTCGTATGTCATTAGAACGATATCAAAAAACAGACACCTCATTTGCTGGGTGCCTGACAGTAAGAGCAGCTGACTTTTAGAGAAAGTAGCAATAAAGAGCTACAGTTTCCCAGCATTTACCAGTGTTTATAGAGCAAAATTACTAGGCTTAGTGATAACAAATCCTATTTCATTGTGTAAAAGTGTCTCAAAATAGAATCATTTGACTTTGATATAGAAGAACTTGGGAAAATACATTCTATTCTGCTTCTTACACTTAGAATTATTTGTTTCCCACTTTGATTAAACTGCTTTATTTCTCTTCTTATCGGTGTGAACAATTTCCATAGAGATGGGAAAATGGCTTAAAAACAACCAAAAAGGCAAAAGAATCCATAGGAAAACATTTAATACTTAGAAATTCCTAGTAAATCAACATTCATTCATCAAAACTATCTATAAAGAGAGTAATTAGATGTCTATGTAAGGATGAGAAAAGATGTTTTACTGGAAACATTTACTTCCTTTTAGCTTTTTATTTCCTTTTCGTGAACATATCAAACCTATTGAAAAAATGGTCCCAAAAGTCTATTAAGAAGCATTCGTAGGATTTTTATTAAAGGGAGATAAGTTCGAACTATGTGTTAACATTTGACATTTATTACTTCTATGTCTCTCTTAGGAAAGCTCTGGGCAGTTTCTCTTTATTTCAATTTTGTACGTTCTGCCAAAAGACCACATGAAAACCTTGCCTTGCTACAGAGTTCATTTCATAATAGATACAATGGGAAAAATAATCATGCCGTTATTCATGAATTCAATAATTGGCACAAGCTCCTGTGGGGATTAAATTAAACAATGACTAAAAACTCTGGAACGTTATTCTATACCACATTAAGACTTATAAACTGAAATGCAGCAGCAAGAAATAAAAGAAATACAACATTCTGCTTGCATTGTACTTTCATTTTGTGTCATCAAAACAAGGCATAAAATAATGCAAAATAATTTTATTTGAGATACATTCATTAGAAGAAAGTATTACCAAGTTCAGGCTCCTAATCAATGTGAAGTCTTTCATTAGAAGAAACTAGAATTGTGGTTAAAAAAAAAAAGGATGTGTATATTCTTTATGTATACACATATAATATACGCGTATATCCAAATCTGGTTGGTTGCTGAACACCAAATAAGTAATCTCAGATTCCTAAAGTATACCCATAAGAATGGTACTTTTATTGAGTCTCGATGCTGGTCAAGATTTGTTGAAGTGAAATATGACCATCCACACTAGAACGCTATATATATCTGCATCATCACTTTAAGTAGGAGTTCATGCCAAACCACACCATTTCCTAAACAAGCAGAATATTCACTTATATTTATTTAAAGTAAGAGAACATTAAATTGCTACAAATTTGCCATAATTCTTTTTTTTTGAGTTGGAGTCTCACTCTGTCACCCAGACTGGAGTGCAGTGGCCGCTCCTGGCTACCGCAGCCTCGACCTGCTGGGCTCCGGCCTGTAATTCCACGCCTTTGGGAGACTGAGGTGAGTGGATTGCCTGAGCCCACGGGTTCGAGACCCGCCTGGGCAGCGAG